ATAAATAAATAAAAGATTTTTTTTTTAATACTGTTGGAAGAACTAGATATCTGGGCAAGGGAAATAGCTCAGTGGCATAAGTGGTTGACTGGCATGTGCAAGGTCCCAAGTTCAATCCCTGGTACACTCCCCCCCAAAAGAAAAAAAAAAAAGAAAAAGGAGAAGGAGAAGAGAAAACTAGATACCAAAAAATAAAAGAGAAAGAAAACCAGATATCCACACACAAAAGAATCAAACTATACTTTTTTACCTTATTTCTTGCCAAAAAAATGAATTAAAGTCCTAAATGAGAGACCTGAAAGTACAAAAATTTTGAAAGAAAATATAGGAGGGAAGCTTCATGGCATTGGATTTGGCAAGGACTTCTTGAGTATGACACCAAAAAACATAACAAAAGCAAGAATAATCTGACCCTTCCTTCTTATGAATCTCTCTTGGCAGCACAGAAACCTTACTTTTCTATCAGCTTGCCTTACTTGGGCTTGATTTGGGAAGCAGTTTGTGTTTCTACAGAAATGCTTCATTTGTCAGACATGCTCTATAAGTGTCTTCTTGATGATGAGTTTCTAGATAATTGTAGATTTTTCTCTTTAGGCACTACATTTAATAGATACAAAAAAATCTGTCAGAAATGAATCAAAATTTAACTCAGTGGATGTATTGCTAAAAATAGCCACTTATAAGCATACAGGTGATGGGCGTATGAGTATTCATGTTAAAATTCATTCAATTTTGTTGTATATTTAATTTTTTTCCTAATGAATGCTAGGAAAGAATCACTCCAAGGGAGCATGAAAAACCCTTATCCCAGTAATATTATGGAAACTCAGAAAGCTATAGAGTCTGTACTAAAAACATTTTAAAAAATACATAACAATGAAACCAACTTTCAAAACAGGGCTCTAACCCCAGGGCCCTTGCTGAAGCCTCTGTCTCTCAATTTTGACTTCTTGTCCTTTTGAGGCAGGGTTTCACTGTGCAGTGCAGGCTTTATGTTTTTTATTTAAATGTATTTAGTATAGGGTCTCACTACACAGATGGGACTCATAGTGATCCTCCTGTTTTCAGCTTCCCAAGTGCTAGGATTACAGGTGCGCACCACCACATTCAGTCTCAATAGCAGTCTCAGCAGGTCCTGGGGGTGGAGCTGGCACAGCATGTGGTCCTGGGGATTGAACCCCGGTCCCTATGTCTGCCTAAGCAGGCACTTTAGTCTGCTGAGCTATCTGTCTGGCCAATTAATTTTTATTTTGTGAGAGTCATAATGAGTTGCCCAGCCTGGCTTCAGACTCCTAATCCTCCTGCATTAGCCTCACAAATTGCTTGAAATACAGGTGTGCACCACTGCACCCTACTTCATTGTGGTTTTGACTTGTACTGTGTTTCTCTGTTAGTGATACTGAATATTTTAAAATGTGCTTCTTCATTTATGTATCCTTTTTAAAAATGTTTAAATTATTCATTTTGATTTTTAAAAATTTTTTAGTTTTTTATATATTTAGTACAGGGTCTACAGGGTCTCACTACACAGATCAGACTCATAGTGATCCTCCGGTTTTCAGCCCCCCAAGCGCTGGGATTACAGTCACACACCACTAACTGAATCTCAATCACCTGTCTCAGCATGCCCCGGGGGCAGAGCCGGCATGGCATGCCAGGGATCGAACCCTGGATGCTGTATTTGCCTAAGCAGGTTAATCCGCTAAGCTATCTGGCCCAACCTATTTATTCATTTTTAATTGAATCATTTATCTTTTTATTTTTGAATTGTAAGAAGTCTATATATTCTACATACATCTTGTTATATGTACAATTTTCAAAGCTTTTCACTTTCCCAGGGATCTTTGAAACACAGAAGTTTGTAATTTTGATGAAGTCCAATGTACCTATTTTTTCTTTTGTCACTTTTGTTTTCAGATAGTCTATTTGAGGTCTGCCATGACTTGTCTAAAAATATGACTTGCTCACTAAGAGCAACATAATAATTATATTATTATTAGTTTTCCTTATTTGGAATTATAAAACAATTGATTCCAAATCCTTGCCAGTTATGTATAAAAGAATTTAGAAATTATGCTTTCACCTGATAAACCCAGGTCTGTGATAGAAAAAATATGTTTTATTGTCAGAGTTATTTGTGACCCACAAGATTAAGACATTGGAAGCCTATGCAGGAGAACATGTCTGAGTTAATCCATTATGTACACTAGTAGGCAGTTAGTTGATATTGTAATTAAGAAGCCAAGTAATGAGTGTGTTTATTGTGTTTAGTAAGAAGAGCAAATGTAAGTTGAAACTTAAAATATTTGAACTAGAGGAAAGGTAAGTACCTATAATTACAGGTAGTTTTATTTTCTTAAATGCCATTTAATATTAATATTTTATTTTACAGTTAAAAACTAAAAATATGTGTGCATGACATTTGGGTGGCAGAAATAGTAAGAAATAGTTGAATCTGAGATCTATATCTGTATCTCACTGCAACATTTTAAAATAGTAATTATTTTAGCATCATTATGACCATCATGATCATCATGATTAGATGGGGCTGGGGAGACAGCTCAGTTGAATAAGTGCTTCCCTGGCAAGTGCAAGGGCCTGAGTTCAAGCCCTGGCTCCACAAAAAAAGAAAACAAAATGAAACAAAACTTTGGGCATCATGATTAGATTAAGGGACAGCAAAAAAGAATTGGCCATGGTGGCCAGCCTGTGTCCTAGAACTCTGAAGACTGAAGTAGGAAGCTTGGGAGCTAGAAGCTAGCTTAGACCACATAATGAGACCCTGTCTCAAACCAAAAACAAAAAGAAACAACAAAAAATTGTGTTTGTCTACTAAGATTTTAATAGGGCTGTTTTAATTATCTGTACATTTTTATATCAATTCCAAACACTGATCATAATTCGATTTTAATTTAGAATTGCTGTCTTAGCCATTATAGCAAGACAATTTGCTAGGAAAAAAGGTAATGATTATGGTGATATGTTAGTAGTGTGGTGTGGATCATAGAAGCACTTTCCTCATGGTATCTCATGAAATTACTATTATTATGGTCATTTTATACATTAAACCATTCAGCCTTCCATTTTTTGAAGTAAATTTCAACTGATCAAAGTTTTAATAGATTTTTTTAAAGAAGGAGAAGTAAAGGCTCCCAAAGAAGAAAATGAATGGTAGAAAAGCAAGCACACTGAAAGGTCGTGTGTAGTAAGTGCACCCAGGGTGAGTTATTGGGCTGCATCTTGGGTTTGTGGGTGCTCTGACTCTCTGATGTTTGGTTTCATCATGGTGATAGAGGTCCTCAGTAAGCCAGTAACTGTGTGGTGATTCCTTTCCTGAAGCCTGAAATGGGAGCAGCAGGATGACAAGGAAAAGCCACAGAGAGGCCAGCTCTTGCACAATCAGGCAGGCTTTCCACCAAGCCACCCCTGCATTTGCACACTGCTACTGAGTTGGTCTTGAGGCCCGGCTTCAGGGACAGAGGCGTCATGTTTTCATATGTGGGAAGGCTATGAAAAGAAAACCTTTGTTGGCCCAAACATTTAAACAAGAAATACACTGGGTCTTTTGTTCTCACTGGCATGGTCAGAATTAATTTAGAGATCCAAAAGAGGGTGTTTTTGTTTTTGTCTTTAAAACTGAGTTACTTAATGCAAGCATATGGAGGAGGGGGGAAGAACAACATAAAAGATTGCTTAAATCATCAAGTGGTATTGGAACATCCCCAGGTCATTCTTCACAGCACTACTTTGTTAGCAACTTAGAGGCACCTGACTTAGATGCCACAATCAAACTGCTGATGAGATTCTTGTGAAAACTTAGGTGATAGAGGACAAGCAGTAGGGTATCTCTGTGGATTTAAGAAACAGAACTTAAGAGATCTTAATCATGTTTTTTCCTCTTTCTTATCAGCCTTAATAGGAAAAATCTGCTTTCTCAAAATTACTGAAAAACTGCCCTTACAAGCTGTTTCTTGTGTGCTCTGGAATAGCTGGCATTTATCCTATAAGGCCTGTGGATGGGACAAGCTGTCACCTGCTGATCACCCAAATTGTTTATCACCATGGCCAGCAAGAGGAAATCTACCACCCCATGCATGATCCCTGTGAAGACTGTGGTGCTACAGAATGCCATTGTGGAGGCCCAGCCTGAGGAAGCCTTGCCTGAAGGACCTCAGCAGGACCTACTCCCCGAACCACCTGCAGCCACCAGTGAGGCGGCCCAGAACTCCAGCAACACTGATGGCTCTGCACTGGCCAATGGGCACCGGAGCTCTTTGGATGGTTATTTATACTCCTGTAAAGACTGTGATTTCAAATCCCAGGATATGACCCAATTTGTGGGACATATGAACTCAGAGCACACAGACTTTAATAAAGACCCAACTTTTGTATGCACTGGGTGCAGTTTCCTGGCAAAAAACCCTGAAGGCCTTTCCTTGCACAATGCCAAGTGTCACTTGGGGGAAGCCAGTTTTGTATGGAATGTGGCCAGGCCAGACAATCATGTAGTGGTAGAGCAGAGTGTGCCTGAGAGCACCAGCACTTCTGACCTTCCAGGTGAGTCCAACACTGAAGGAATCGATGGACAGGCTGAAATCATCATTACTAAGACCCCAATCATGAAGATAATGAAGGGCAAAGCTGAAGCCAAAAAAATTCATATGCTCAAGGAGAATGTCCCCAGTCAGCCCGTGGGAGAGGCTCTGCCAAAGCCATCAGGTTTAGAGACTGAGGTGAAAGAGGCAGACCATGCCTTTGTCAATGGGGCAGCTCCTGTCAGCCAGACACCTGCCAGTTCTGCAAAGCCCCCCCATGGTGCCAATGGGCCACTGATAGGATCAGTGCCCGTTCTGCCAGCTGGTATAGCACAGTTCCTCTCCCTCCAGCAGCAGCCCCCAGTGCATGCCCAGCACCATCCACACCAGCCCCTGCCCACATCCAAGTCCCTTCCCAAAGTGATGATCCCCTTGAGCAGCATCCCAACATACAATGCAGCCATGGATTCCAACAGCTTCCTGAAGAACTCCTTCCACAAATTCCCCTACCCAACCAAAGCTGAGCTCTGCTACCTAACTGTAGTGACCAAGTATCCAGAAGAACAGCTTAAGATCTGGTTTACAGCCCAGAGGCTGAAACAGGGTATCAGCTGGTCCCCTGAGGAGATCGAGGATGCCCGGAAAAAGATGTTCAATACAGTCATCCAGTCTGTACCTCAGCCCACAATCACAGTTCTAAACACACCTCTGGTTGCCAGTGCTGGCAATGTCCAGCATCTCATTCAGGCTGCTCTCCCAGGCCATGTTGTGGGACAGCCAGAGGGCACAGCAGGGGGACTCCTGGTCACTCAACCACTGGCCAATGGGTTGCAAGCACCAAACTCATCTCTGCCCCTGGCGGTTACATCTGTCCCCAAGCAGCCATCTGTGACACCCATCAATACTGTGTGTTCAAATACAGCATCAGCTGTGAAGGTGGTCAATGCAGCCCAGTCACTCCTCACTGCATGCCCCAGCATAACTTCCCAAGCCTTTCTTGATGCTAACATCTACAAGAATAAGAAGTCTCATGAACAGCTGTCAGCTCTGAAAGGGAGCTTCTGTCGGAACCAGTTCCCAGGGCAGAGTGAAGTCGAGCATCTGACCAAAGTGACTGGGCTCAGTACCAGAGAGGTGCGGAAATGGTTCAGTGATCGGAGATACCACTGTCGGAACCTGAAGGGCTCCAGAGCCATGATGCCTGGAGAGCCTGGCTCTATCCTCATTGACTCGGTACCAGAGGTTCCCTTTGCCCCATCATCTAAGGTTCCTGAAGTGGCCTGCATCCCGACAGTGGCTTCACTAGCAAGCTACCCTGCTGCCAAACGGCAATCCTGGCACCAGACTCCTGACTTCACTCCAACCAAATACAAAGAAAGAGCCCCTGAGCAGCTCCGTGTACTGGAAAGCAGCTTTGCACAAAACCCACTTCCTCTTGATGAGGAACTGGACCGTCTAAGAAGTGAAACCAAGATGACTCGGAGAGAAATTGATAGCTGGTTTTCAGAAAGACGGAAAAAAGTGAATTCTGAGGAGACCAAGAAAGCCAATGAGACTGCCTCTCAGGAAGAAGAGGCTATGGATGATGAGGGTGGAGAAGGAGACTTGGCTGGTGAGTTGAGGGTTGCTGGTGAAAATGGTTCCCCAGAAGTGCCTATTAACCAGACATCAGCAGAGCGCAAAGTCAGCCCCATCAAAATTAACCTTAAGAATCTGCGGGTCACTGAAGCCAGTGGCAAGGGTGACCTTGCAGGGCTGGGAATCTGTGAACCTGAGGATGATGGGTTAAATAAGCTGGCAGAGCAACCCCCAGGCAAAATGAGCTATAAAAAGACGGCCCAGCAGCGGCACTTGCTGCGACAGCTCTTTGTCCAGACACAGTGGCCAAGTACCCAGGACTATGACTCCATCATGGCCCAGACAGGTCTGCCACGGCCAGAGGTGGTGCGCTGGTTTGGGGACAGCAGGTATGCCCTGAAGAATGGCCAGCTCAAGTGGTATGAAGACTACAAGCATGGCAACTTCCCTCCAGGGCTGCTAGTCATCGCCCCTGGCAACCGAGAACTGCTGCAAGACTATTACATGATGCACAAGATGCTGTATGAGGAGGACCTGCAGAACCTCTGTGACAAGACCCAGATGAGCTCCCAGCAGGTCAAGCAATGGTTTGCTGAGAAAATGGGTGAGGAAACACGGGCTGAGGCAGACACAGGTAGTGTGGACCAGCACTCTGGTGTTGGAGAGCGTGTGGCAGTTCACAAAGCCCTAGGTGACACTTATTCAGAAGTATCAGAAAGTAATGAGCCGTGGGAATCCAGTGCCCCTGAGGCCAGCTCAGAGCCCTTTGACACATCGACTTCACAGACTGGACTTGAGCTAGGTAAGAAGCACATGGGAACTATGGCCTTCCTCTGTGGGTGAGGGGAGGATGCACTCAATAGGAGGAGGGCACTGCGTATATTGCACTGGGGACCCTGCTGTCTTTAAGGCCACCTGGCAGTAGTACTAACTGATTGCTTAAGAGAACAAACAGCTTCAAAAACTATGGCAATCGGGCTGGTGAGATGGCTCAGTGGTCTAAAGCACCTACTTAGAACAAGCTAAGCTAAGCTAAACACAGGGACCGCGGTTCAATCCCCCAGCACTACATGCCAGCCAGCCCCGCCCCCTGGTGGGCTGAGCTGGCCACACACACACAAAATAAATAAATAAATAAATAAATATTTAAAAAACCCTATGACAATCTAAAATGATAAAAGGCTGAAACTGAGTTAGGGTTTGTTCAGCTCATTTTTTTTTTTCAGTTCATTTTTTAAACCTCTCTTCCTCTCTACCATTTGGTGTTTGTCTTCTCATTAGAGACCCTTCACAGGGGAGCCAGAAACGCAAGCAAGAGCCAGGAGAGAAGAGTGCTGCTAAAGCTAAAGGGATTGGCAGCCCTAAAATGCAGCTATGGCACTGGGTTGACTGTAGTGGAGGGGTGCTGGAGACTCTCAGAAACATGGAGGTGGTTCTCTGGTGACTATGGCATAAATTCCTTCAGTGTGGAGCCTTGGATTTGACACCTCATTCCCAAGGCCAGGAATAGGACCCTGCCCCTCAGCCCCAGTTCCTTCATTCAAGTAAGACCTCTAAAAAGAAGAAAAGTATTTTTCTTCCCCCAAATATTTTAAGTGCATTAGAATACAATTTTGAAGCACAGTTATGCTCTTGGTACATTCATTCTTTTAAGGGAAAGGAGACATCATGTCTGCTCATGTTAGGGGAAGAGCTGCCATGTTTTCCATCTGTTCAGCATTTGCAGAAAGCCTGTTATTTTAATGTTCACATACTAAAGCAAAACCTGACTCTCTAAAGCAAACAGAGAAAACACCTAGTGGAGCCCAAGTCCCTCATTAGGACATAAAGTATACATACAAATCTGCTAGCTCTTTGCTAACATCTTCAATTCTAGCCTGTTCTCACTGAGGAAGACTGGAGGAAGATCCCCTCCTCCTCGGGGCACCAGACTGACAGACTGCTGCCAACAGGGCTGGTGAGAGATATTCTGGAGTTGGAGCAGGGCAAGAAGGAACTTGCCTATGATTGGGTCAAGCTTTTTCATTGCAAACCAGGTTGTCTCTCTTCTTTTGAAATCTTTGTCCAAGTTGGTCTAGGTGCCCAGCTTTATACTTCTTTTGCCTGCCAGTAGGTCATTCTCAAAAGAGATGAAGATGTTTGAGTTAGTTGTGTTAAAAAATTGACTTGAAACCAGATGTTAATCCCAGCACATGGGAGGCTGAAGCAGAAGGGCTGCAGGTAGTTCAGAACCAGCCTAGGCTACATAGTGAGTTCAAGGCCAGCCTGAACTACATACTGATAAGCAAGACCTCGTCTCAAAAAAACAAAACAAAAATGCTGCCCTGGAAAGAGTGACATCATAGAAGATTGTAGAACAGAGTACCACTCCTCCATCAGAGCAGCTAATGAGCTGACATAAAGTGAATCACATATTTTGGAAGTCTGGAATCTAGTTGAACATTTGCAACACCTATATAGAGGAGCTTACTAGGAGCAGTTTGCACATCTTGGTGATGTTCTGTGTTTCACATAACATCATCACCTCTCCCATCCCTGCAGCTGGCATCTGTGGTGACTGTGACCCAGGTTCTTGATGTGGCTTTTTGTTGCCAGGCTGAGCAGCAATGACTTTGTCTTCCAAAAGTCAGTTTTGTGTTTTGATTGCCTAGTACTGAATTTCCTCACTGAGGAGCCAACATAGAAGCTACCACTATTCCAACCCTGTGGGATGAAGCAATTTCCTAGTCACAGGGGATTTAAAGTGATAGTGCCCTTAAGAAAAAAAAAGTATCCCCTTTTGGGCTGGTGAGATGGCTCAGTAGTCTAAAGCACCTGCTTAGAACAAGCACAGCAAAGCACAGGGACCGCGGTTCAATCCCCCAGCACCACATGCCAGCCAGCCCCGCCCCCTGGTGGGCTGAGCTGGCCACACACACACACACACACACACACACACAAATAAATAAAAAAGTATCCCCTTTTTAGGGAGCCAGACTTTGAAGAAATCTTAGGTTACCAAAGAGAGCATAGACAGAAACTGAAGTGATTCCCCCAGCACAAGAAATACACACTTTGCAAAAAATAGTTTGCAAAACTCTCCACAAGTAAAAATTAGCAAAGCTGGAGGTTGAGATAATTAGAGTCACCACACATAGTACTCAATGTCCAGTTCTCAATAAAAAATTGCAAAACAAAGAGGAAAGTAAGGAGAAAAGGTTAAAAAAAGGAATTTGACATACTTAAGGAAGTCAAACACTGTCTTAAAAATGTTCCGTGAACTAAAGGAAGCTACCAGGGCAAATGCATGATTGGATTGAGAATATCAATAAAGAGATAGAAATTATAAAATGGAATTCAACTCTAGAGCTAGAAAATACAGTTACTAAAATAAATTGGCATCAACAAATTTGAGCATTTTAAAATTTGTTTGTCTTCTGAGACAGGATCTCACTGTGCAGTTCAGGCTGGCCTTGAGCTCACTTTTGCAGCCCAGACTGGTCTCAAAACTCACAATGATCCTCCTGCCTCAGCCTCCCAAGAGCTGGGATTACAGGCACACACCATCATATCCAGTGGATCAATGAATTTAAGGATTATTGTAGTTAGACAAATGATCAGAAAAAAATAAAGGAAAATGAACAGAACCTAAAGACCTGTGAGAAAGGGTCATAAAGAATATTATTAAAATGAGCAAAGAAAAAAATGAGCTAAGGAGGGGGCACATACGTATAATCTAGGCACTCGTAGAGGATGAGGCAGGAGGACTGTAAATTCAAGCCTAGTCTGGGCAATGTAGCAACTTAATGAGACTGTTTAAAAATGTAACTCAGTTTAAAGATCCTGGGTTCAAATTTCAATACTAAAAAAGAAAACGAAAAACGGCAGAAAACTTTAAATCTTATGAAATACAGGAATGTACAAATTCAAGAAGCTCAGTGAACATCAAACAGGATAAACTGAAAGAGATCCACTAAGACTCACATTAAAATTGTCAAAACCCAAAGGCAGTTTTGAAAGCAACAGTACTAAGGAAGCACATCACATATACGGGGCTTTATAAGCATCATAGCTGGTTGTCCGTGCTCCCTTCGGCGGCACATATAATAATGGTTGTCCATCAGAGCCTTGGAGGCCTGAAGGCAGTGAAAAGAGGTCCTGAAAGGACCGAAATATAAAAAAAGAAAACACCAAAAGTGTAATGATAAAGATTTCTTTATCTGGCAAAACTGTCCTTCAAAGGTGAAGGAGAAATTAAAGCATTTTCATATGAACAGGATCTACAAGAGTTCATTCCAGTAGACTTACCTTATTAAAAATGCTAACGAGAGTCCTTCATACTGAAGTGGAAGGATAATGACCAGTGATTTTGAAGTCATAGGAGAACAATAATACTAATAAATGTATAGGTAAATATAAAAGTCAATACCACTGCATTTTATTTGTAACTTTTGTCTTTTTCCAATGTAGTTTGTCATATAAATCACATTGAAAATTATGTTTGTGCTATGTGTATAGCGTAGTACAATGTAATATGTCAATAACAAAAAGGGAGATATATAGGAGCAGTGTTTATATAATGAAAACTAAATTGGCATTAGAAAATTTTTTTTAGGGGGCCTGCCGGTTAGCTCAGTAGTTTAAGTGCTTGCTCATGCAAATGCAGTCAGGTGCAGGATAAGGTGGTTCCATCCCCAGCTCCACCTCCCTTACCAGACCCGCCCTTAAGGCAGCCTGAGTCAGCCAAAAAAAAGGCCAGAAAGATCATTTTAAATTTAAGATACTAATCATAATCCCCAAGGTAATCACAAAGAAAATAAGTAATATATGTGGTACATTGTAAGAAATAAGATGCTCCTGCTGTGAACCAGACCTAAAGACCTTAAAGGCCAAACAAATGCTAAAAGAGTAGCACCTGGGATTGGTATTCTAAATAGGTATCAATCACCTGGAAAGACCCAAGTGAGTCACTAGCCCAAGCCCCAACAGAGACCCTGTCCCGCATTCCAACCCCCAACAGGGAGAGACCCTGTCCCCTATTCATGCCCGCTTGCTATGTGACTCGCTTTCCCATTTGATACTGGATTTAATCAGTTTTACCAGAACAATGGTGCTTGTAATCCCATTAGTTGACCACAGTTTTGTCCCACCTCCTGCCCACCTAAGCGAGTTCCCATTCTCTCTACCTTAGCCCCACGTGGTTTTACACTATAAAAGTCCCTAGAAGAGATGGCTTCCTGGGGAACTACCTGCTCGGGCCCCCCTTCTGTCCCTCTCTTGGACAGGAGCTTTCTTTCTCTCAATATATTCTGCTCATAAAAAAAAAAGAATTAAGATATTTTAAAAATAATTTTTAGGAACCGGGGAGATGGCTCAGTGGAATAAACGCTTCCCTGGTAAGCGCAAGGACCTGAGTTCAATCCCCAGATCTGCCAAAAAAAAAAAAAAAAAAAAAAAAAAAAAAAAAAAAAAAAATAGTGAATGTTTGGAGTATATAATGATTACATTTCTCTTGGGAGTTGGTGTATGCATGTAATGCATCTTAATTCTCATCTCCTTTTCTTCCCTCCCCACTCCATCCTTTGTTTCTTGGTCCCCCTCCCTTTCGCAAAAGATCTAGCTCTTTTTTTTGCTGTTACTGATTTTTATTTTGCTCTTTGTTTATATTTTGTATTTCTCATATAAGAACTATGCAAAATTTAAGCTTGTGTGTTTCTTTCCCTTAATGTGATGTTCTCAAAGAGCATCCATTTTTCTCCAGATAACTCGTTTATCCTTCTTTATGGTAGGATGGTGCTCCATTGGGTGTAAATACAACATTTTTTTATTCATTCATCTGTTGATGGACGTACAGGCTACATCAGAAATTTCACTATTATAAATTGTGCTGCTATAAAATGTATATGCATGTGTCACTGTAGTATGATGTTTCTAATCCTTTGAGCAAGATACCTAGGAGAATAACTAGGTGAAATGGAATTTATAGTTTTAGGTTTTGGTTTTTTTTTTTAATTAATTAATTAATTAATTTGTGTGTGTGTGTGGCCAGCTCAGCCCACCAGGGGGCGGGGCTGGCTGGCATGTGGTGCTGGGGGATTGAACCGAGGTCCCTGTGCTTTAGCTAAGCTTGTTCTAAGTAGGTGCTTTAGACCACTGAGCCATCTCACCAGCCCTATAGTTTTAGGTTTTGGAGGAATCTCCATACTGATTTGCATTATGATTGTATTAGTTTACATTCCCATCAACAATGTAGAAAAGTTCTTTTTTTTCCTGCAGAACTGCCAGAATTTATTTAATTTTTTAATGATAACTATTCTTTCTGGAGTAAGATGTAATTTCAGTGTTGTTTTCTGTGACCAGAGATGTTGAATATTTTTTTAATTTATTCATGTCAATTGCCCTTTGTTTTGTTATGTTTTGTTTTAGTACAGGGTCTACTGGGCCTATAGGGTCTCATTACATAAATTGGACTGTTAGTGATCCTCCTGTTTACAGCCTCCCACGTGCTGGGATTAGAAGCACTCACCACCATGCCCAGTGTCAGTCACCCTCTCAGCACACACCAGCACAGCAGTCCCTTGGGATCAAACCCCCAGCCCCTGCATCTGCCTAAGCAGGCACTTTAATCCACTGAGCTATCTGGCTGGCCCAACTGGGCTGAGTCTTTTAGTTTAGGAGATCTGATTTTTTTTAAATTTCAGAGTATATTCTAAATATTAGCCTCTGTCTGAGGAATAGCTAGCAAATTTTTTTCCAGTTGTATAGGCTGTCTCCCTTCTCTGTTGCTTGTTCCCTTTGCTGTACAAAAGCTTTTTGTTTTGCTGTGCTCCCATTTGTTAATTCTCAGTGCTAAAATCTCATGCATCTAGGGTTCAGTTCAGAAAGTCCTTACCTATGTCTGTGTATTCAAGAGCTTTACCTATTTTATCTTCCAACATATTGTCTCAGCAATCAAATAAGTATTATGAAAGGCAATGATGGAGGAATCATGGAGCCAAAAACATGGAAGACATACAGAAACCAAATAGCTAAATTACAGGAGGAAATTCTTCATGTTCTTTTTCTAGCTTTATGGATTAAGTTCTATTAAAGACAAAGATTATCAGTTTGGACTAAAAAGAAAGGATCCGTCTATATGCTGTCTACAAGAAACTGACTTTGGATATAAGGACACAAAGGGATTGAAAGTAAAGGATGGAAAAGTTATGCTACACATATAGTAACCAAAAGACAGCTAAGATGGCTATGTTATCAAACAAAACACTTTACTCAAGAAAGGCTAAAGAAAAAAAGGATATTATATATTGATAAAAGGCTTAAGACTACAAGAAGATTGAGCTAACATGTATATACCTGCCAGAAACCTAAAATATATGAAGAAAAAGTTAACAGAATTAAAGGGAGAAGTAGACAAAAATATTTGGAGGCGTTAATATTTTGCTTATAATAATAGATAAAAAACAGGTTATCAAGCCAGTGTCATGGCACATCCCTATAATCCCAGCACTTGGGAGGCTGAGGTGGGAGAATTCCCATGAAGTTAAGACCTACCTGATTACATAGTAAATTCAAGCCCAGCCTGAACTACATAATAAAAATCTGTCTCAAAAAAAAAGAAAAGAAAAAGAAAGGAAAAGAAAGATCAATAAGGAGTTAGAGGATTTGAAAAACACTACAATTCATCTAGATATAACAGACATGAAAGGGATCTCATGATTTTAAGCAAAAGGGAAAAAACTAAAATAAGGAAGTACAGGTGGAATCCTTCCAGATCTTGAATTAGGCAGTGATTTCTTTTTCTTTTCTTTCTTTCTTTTTTTTTTTTTTTTTTTTTTTTTTCAGTATCGGGGATTGAACTCAGGACCCTGCACTTGTCAGGCAAGTGCTTATTCTACTGAGCTATCTCCCCAGCCCTGGGCAGTAATTTCTCAAATCTGATAGCAAAAGCATAGACAACAGGGAAAAAAAAAAAAAAAGTAACTTGAACTACATCAGATTTTGAAAGTTTTGCATATCAAAGGTTACTCTAAAGAGAGTGAAAAGACAACAGAATAGGAAAAATATCTGAAAGTCATATTTGATGAAACTAATATTTAGAATATATATAGAACCTCTGCAACTCAGCAACAATTAAAATTGAGTAAATGTTTTAAGTAGTCATTACTCTAAGATGTATAAGTGGCCAATAAGCACATAAAAAGTGATAAACATCTTTAGTCATTAAGAAAGTGTAAGTCAACCCCACACTGAGAGCCAGGTGTGGTGGCAAATACCTAGTGCATTCAGAGGCTGAGACAGGATGATCTCCATAAATCTGAGGACAGCCTGGGCTACATGATGAGTTCAAGATCAATCTGGAATACATAGCAAGGCACTGTCCCCAAAAAGCAAGATAAAAATAAAACCATGATGAAGCTCAAGTTTATAGTTCAGGTAGCTGTCACACACATGTGCACACACAAAATAACATGCACTGGTAGGATGTGGAGAAATTTGATTGCTTGTGGTAATATAATATTTCAGAAGGGCCAACCAAATAGCTCAGTGGATTAAAGAACCTGCAAGCAGGCACAGGGGCTGGGAGTTCCATCTAGGCCTGCTGTGCTGGTCCCGCCCCCAGGGCACACTGAGACAGCAGTTGAAATTGGGCATGGTGACACATGCCTGTAATCCCAGCTCTTGGGAGGCTGTAAACAGGCGGATCACTATGAGACCTGTCTAGTAGTGAGACCCTGAACACCCTGTAGACCCTTCCCTAAAATACAAAAAATATATATCTATGTCTATGTCTATATCTATATCTATATCTATTGGAAGGCAATTTGGCAATTCTTCAAGAAACTGAATTATTTAATCTAGCAATTTGACTCATATATATACCCAAAAGGATTGGAAAGAGGAATTCAAATATTTGTACACAATCTTCATGGCAGCATCATTCACTAGATCCCTAAATTCTCCTATTTGTCCATGAGAGATGAACAAGAAAGTACATGGAACACACATACAGTAAATGCTGTTCAGCCAAGAAGGGATGAAATTCAGATGCATTCTGCAGGATGGGTCTTGAAGACATTATGTTAAGTGAAATAAGCCAGACACAAAGGACAGATGTTACATGACTGCATATACGAAGTAGCAAGAATAGGCAGATTATGGAAATAGAGAGTGGAATACAGGATACCAGAGTTTGGAAGAAGGGAATGAGTGGGATTCGCTGTTGAAATGGTATGCAATGTCTGTTTAAGTGATGATGTAGTTTCATTACATGTGAATGTACTTAGCACACTGAGTGGATCTGAGTCATAAGATTGGCTCCTTCAGCTACTAAATGGCACAGAGTAAAATGTTGGTATCTTCTGTGGGGCAGCAGGAGCAGCAGGGGTGGCCATGCCATTGTGGCATTATCTTCTGTGGCTTGTGTGTCTATATCTGGTTTCTCACATTTCTCAGCCAGCCTCCATATGTAAGGGCTTTATCTTTTACATTGTGGATGATGGGCTTCTTCTAATCAGCCTCATTGACTTTGACTTTTAGGTCTGCAAATTATAAATGACGGTAACAGTAGAACTAGACCCAGCTGCTATAGAAGAGGGATGTGTTCCAGGGAACCTGGAAGGAGAAGGCAGGACCCTGGGAGTAGCCGTGGCAGTGTGGGTTATGGTGGGGCATGGAGAGGCCAAGCTGTGACTTCAGCTACGAGTCTGGAATTGGGCCATGGTTCCATGGAAAGTCGGAAGACTTCACCTCACTTAGTCCTTTCCTGAGCCACATACTTCTTCACCTTCCCTCAGGCTGGAGATGGAATGGCTGGTAGGAAGGCACTGCTCACCGAATTAAGAAATCCCCAAAGCTATAACAATACCTTGGCATAGTGAGGATAAGGCTGCTACAGGGATATGCAAGCTGCAGCTGCCATAGAGTGACAGGAATGTGTTTTCTCCTCAGAAACAGACTGAATTTGATCTAATTACCATGAAGAACCAGCCAGTCTAGGATGCTGCCTGCCATGTGGAAGAGCCAAATCCACCTCTGCTGCCACGTGTGGTTCCCATGGCCAGCCACCAGCACCCAGAAGAGCCTCTGGAAGTCTCCCTGACAGTCTGGAGCCCAGTGCTGCCATCTTCTCCCTGGGCCTGCCCCCACCGTGCAGTGGAAGCAGACGTCATCATCAGTCCTTCCCCCACAGTGTAGGACCTTTCCTTTGCCTTCCAGGGATGAAATAATCCCAATTTCATATTTGTAGACACAGAATCAAGTTTTTAACATATACGTCTGCCTATCTACATTTAATAAAACAAGTTACAAACATTTTCACTATATAGAAACTTTGGTTAGCAAAGGAGTATATTGTTCACATCATCTCTGAAATGCTTTGTGTCTGTTCTCCGGGGAGCCCTGGGGCCATGAGTGCCCTCACCTTCACCAAGCACCCAGGGGTTAATGGCACACACAGAACTGTGCCCAGGCCACTGGACCTGTGCTCTGTTTCTGCAGGCAGCATTTTCTGCCTCCTTACCCAATGACCAGCCACATTTCATGCCCAGCTTTCCTTGCCTTATGGGCCAATCAGTTTAGAAAATGGCCCAGCTGAGTTTAGGGTTGGATGCTCACCACTCTTATATTGTTACTCTAATTCTGCTTTTTTCATGGGAGTTTGAATCTTGGACCATACATTTTTGGTTTTTAGATGACCTAGGGAGACACTGGTTGGTAAGCCTAAATACACTGACCCGTGCGCCCACTTTACTTTTTTTTTTTTTTTCTCTTTAATCTGGATACTTTAGAGTGAACTGAAAATGGAAAAAGACAATGGGGACAAAGCAGAAGTGGAAGTTATACACATGTCCTTTAGCCCTAGCCAGGGCTCAGAGACCTTTTTCCCCATGTTCTGCAAAGCCTCCTGCCGGTTGGGAGGGAAGAACACACTGGTTCAGTAGTGAGAGCTGAAGTGATTCGGCGACTGTTTGAAATTATCATAGCTGGTCATCTTGAGCACAAAGACCTGCAGTGGGTGGTTCCCGGCAGAATACCCCGAGTGACCCTGTTGCACACCAGGACCTGGCCAGTGTGCTGGGTGCATGCCCCGGTGGTGCTGGACATTGCTGGACAGGTCCTTGTGAGGATGTTTTTAAATTCTGTATTTATATTGCTAAACTGGGAAACAACGTTTTTAAATGTCCTTTGAAGTGAGAAAAACCACAGGAAAAGGTGCCTTTGCAGTGATGGACAGTGTGCTGACAGTTGTACTAAATGGCAGTCCTCCTATTTCCCCAGCCTGGGCCACTGTGACCGCAGTTGATAACGGAGGTGGGGCTGGCTAAGGACTTGTTACTGCCGGCGTCAGCACTTAGAAACATCCTGCTTCCCAAAACACCAGGCACAGGTACTAGGACCTCATGGGCTTGCTTGCAGGCCTGGGACAGGGCGGAGCACAGGAGGCCAGAGGGGGGCAAGGGCTTGGGGCAAGAAAACTAGTGTGCTTTAGGCATTAGTGTTCCTCCTTTCCTACCGCAGAACTGGAATGGCCAGGCCACCTGGCTGGCTTGGCGTCGAGGACAAGCATGGCAGTGGTGCCTTCTGCTCTCCTGGAGAGAGCTTTCTTTGGAGAACAAAAGTCCCTGAACCATTGTTCTTCTAAAGTCTCTTTTCTTGCCCTCCATGTCCCAATAGGGACCACCTGTTATTCGTCTCAAATTGGGAACTTGTGAGTACTTGGCAAGTTTTGCAGCCTATTTTTTATCCTTTCCATTTGGAGTTTGAAGCTATTTGGTTCTAAAAGCCTTTGAGGAATTTCCAAGAATAGAGTGAGTGCCTTCCTTCAGAGAGCAGACACCTGGAATTTTTCCTTTAGCATTTATGTACATGCAGTCTAGTTTATATATCTACATATATACAGTAAAAGTACTCATTTGATAATTTGTAAAACATACACATGATGTGTGCTGTTGAGGAACTTTGTGGATGTGGGTATTGGGGGCAGTGGCCTGTGTGGCAGGGAATGCTTGGACAGCTGTGGTGGCTCAGCACAAAGCTATCTCCAAGAGTCTGAGAAACTGACCAGTGCTCTACCTGCCTCCCCCAGACCCTTGCTGGTGTCACCTCCAGAGCCTTGCATGCACTGGCTGAATAGTATTGAAATGGCTTTCCTGGTTATTTTATTGAACTTTAATCTACAACCTAAAGAGCAAAACAGAAAATAAGTCACATGGTGGACAAGTTCAAATAGGGCCTAGAGACTGCCCTGGCCTCGGGCACCAGGTTGTCTTTTAGATGGAAGTTATAATGATGTCAGTCCCAGCATGTTTTTCTCAGATGTTGGTCCTGCTCAACAGCCAGGGCCATGCCACAAATGGTAAGATGGCCCAGATAGGAAGCCCAGCAGACCTGACAGATTGCTTCTTCCTGTGCTCTTAGATAGTGTTGAAAAATTGTGATTTGGACCTTATGTTGGAAAAAGTAAGATGATCAAAGGTGACACTAAAGGAGGTGGTCACTGAGTAGGGACCTAGGCATTGAGTGCTCAGCTCTGAATGTAGTGTGCCAGGCAGAGACCTGCCTACATGAGCCGGAGATCAGAAACATACTCAGAGTGGCAGCAGGAGCTATGGAATGCCAGCAGCCCGCTCTGTGGCTCATGGCAGGACACAATGCTAGAGGTTAAGTTAGGTATTATCAATTTCACTAGAAAGCTGTGCGAGAGGTGGGCTGGTTAATCTCTCAAAGAAAATTTTATAAAGTAGCATGTATTTTCCCTTTCCTCTATATGCCCTTAGACTGATGTTCCTTGTGGCCTATTGTACCTGTTTGATTTACTTTGTTTTTACATAGTGTTATATATATTCAGTTCTAACAGGTGAAAACAATCTTTTTTTGTTTACTTTTGTTTTTTTGTTTTGACTAAGGGGCTTGCTATGTAGTTCAGACTGGCTTTGAACTTAGGGTGATCTTCCTGCTTCAGCCAGATCACTTTCTGATAAAGGAAGTTTGAAATCATGATACATAAACTTCCCATACTTTATTTGTTTTAATTTTTGACTGTAGAGGACCTTTTTCATTTGGGGTGGAGGAAAGTCATTTTTAAGTCTTGGATTCCTGAGAAAGAATGCCCTAGCTTGACAACTCACCACCATATTGAGATGTGTGGTGGCCACCTTAAAGCCTTCTCTTGGGAGAGTGTGACAGGCAATTGTCTGGGTAGACCAAAGCACCTCAGCCGAATGCCGCACACCCTGCTCTCTAGAAGCAAAAGGAGAAAGCTGGACAGAGTGCTGGAGGGTTCTTTGACGAGCTTCCGCCTGTGCTTAGTCCTGTTCCCACAAGGAAGGACCAGTGTATTCTCCAGGCTGAGATAGGGTTTCTGTAGGTTTTGTCTTGTTTGGTCCTGTGCCCCAGTGTTTGTTTCTGGTTCTAGGATATCAGTCCTAAAGCTACCTTGCATGGAGAATGGGAGGAAGCCTTTTTGGCTAGTGCTCAGGTTTCTGTGCACAGTCTCTCCCTCTGCTCCCTACTTACACTGTTCCTGTCTTGGATGCTGCTGCTCCTGCCTTTATAGCCTATATGAACTAAAATCCCCAAAATAAAGCAGCTCTTGTTAGCTCCAAAATCACAGCCCAAGTGGATAAAGGAACTTTACAGGAGAGAAGAGAACTGGAGAAAAAGACTAACTTTAAAAGTTTAGAGTTTAGGCTTTACCTACCACTCCACTGCCCTTGCTGTTTACTCTGGGAAGTTTATTAGTTTGATTCATTTTGTTCATGTTCTTTTGCATGTAGCTTAGATTTTCCATGCATCACATCTATGTGTAAGGCTGTTGCATGCTGGAGAAGGAAAGCCCTTGGGACACAGGATCAGCATAGCTAGCATATTCAGGCCAAAGCCAGCAGCCTCCCTAGGTCAGGGTTTGGTTCTTCTGACCTGTGGAGACCCCGCAAAGGTGTCTTGACCCAGCCTTTTTCTTTCCCTTTCCGAGGACAGACCTCCCTAGCCATCCCTTTCAGACCTCAGGATGTTGTCTTTGTGTGCATGCAGAGCATTGAGTCTCTGAAGGGCTCTGATGTAGAAGCAGCATGCACTGATGGAGCTCAGACTTTTCTGAGTTCACGCCCCCTCCCTAAGCAAAGCTTCAAACCAAGGTGCTTGCTTACTCTGTGTCTTGCTGTGGTCGATATAAGCAGGCCAACTCACTGAACCATGAAAACCCACACTGACAAGGCTACGGGGGCCTTATGAACAGAAAGACCAGTTTGGGTTTTGTCTGAGAGACTGGATAGAAGTGACATGGTGCTGCCTGACTTGCTACCTAGCCCAACTTGAAGTTCAGATGGTACTGACAGCCCTCAGATTAAAGCCATTTATGCTGGAGCCTGCGTGTTCTCAGTGGCCATTGTGGGGTAGATAGTTGAATGCAGGGGTGGCAAACCCATGTATTCTCTGAGCTGACCCTGCACCTGTACTTGGTTAAGTGAAAGGAATTTGTATAGAGCATGTGGCCCTAAAAAGGATAGAAAGCCTGCTTTGGGGTCCTGTCTTGAATTGTCTATAATAGCTAGCCATTTTGTCCTGCCTGCAAATCTGATCTCTTTGAAAAGGACCTAGTTCTTCATTAGACTGGAGCAATGATATGGAAGAGGTCCTTTTTAGCCCAGGATCTGCCCTGAAGTCTGGGGCAAGGACAGGAACCTAGAAGCTAGGGAGACTAGGCTGATTCTGATTGCCGTATGGACAAGGGCAGAGGGCAAAGAGCTGCTTCCTTGTTTTAAAAAAACTTTTGGTACACTGGACTTTGGGGAGCCAGAGAGTATATTAACTCTTGTCTTTGCCCTCCTTTCTCTGAGCATTCTGGATCTTAATGCAGTGCCACAGGGGCCTGGCAGAGCCAAGGAAAGAGCAGACACGATTCTGGCAGGGACTGGCTGGCGTCTTTCTGTTGCTCCAGAGGATGTGTGGGGAAGTGGCAGGCCAATACCTGGAAGGGGCCTGTGTGCTCACCTGCTCTTTGAGCCTCTGCAGCTGGGGGAGGGGGCTATGCCCATCTTGTACATATATATGGGCACCTACCTGTAATAGCTTTTTTTGGTTAATGCTTTTTAACTCGTGTTCTCTTCCATGATAAATGAGTGATTCAGAATTACTCAGTGACTAGAGTCAGAGGTAAAGTGTCTATGATAAAGGTTGCTCAGTCACTTGAGTAGAGAAAACTCCAAGTGCTGGGTCCTTCCCAAATGTCAACCCCAGAGCAGAAATACTGTGAAGGTAAAAATCAGTCCACATTTGCCTATAAACCCCATGATTTGTATTTAACAAATTTCCACCTTGAACCACCAGTGGCTCATGCATGACTCCCACCAGCAGCTTGTACCACCCAACAGGACTGTCCTGTGCCATCCAATGGGCCAGTCATACATGTACCACCAGTCATTCCGAGGTGCCCAGAAAACACAGAAATTATGGCCCCATTGTGAGAGAGTTCTTGCCACTCATTCCTGCCCATAAAGCCTCTCCCTGCAGTTTGCCTGATAGACTAGAGAGCCCAAGTGAGATCTGTTGGCTAGAGCAAGAGGGGGAGCATCTCTGCTCTGTGGGGCACCAGCCTAATAGATGGGTCAGACCGTGTGGCTTTGGGCCAGGGCCAGGGAACAGTGGCCATCCTGGGCGGTAAGCTCCCATCAAGCATTTGAGCTTTTTGTTCAGCAGTGTTAGGAGGGCTGAACCATAATTGTTATTAAAAAAGAAAACCACACCAGCTTCCCTCCCTTGCTGAATACTGTACATTGAGTTTTACTGACAAGTGACATAGCCTTTGGGGGAGATAAAGGAGGTTGCCAAGGGCCTGCAGATGACTTCCTGACAAAGTCCTAATTCCTTGTCCTCAAACACCCATCTGTGTTCTGATCCTTAATGCAAACCCCTTTGTTCCCTGAGGGACAGGCTGGTAAGAATTGAGAGGGGGAATGGCGAACAGTTTGCTTCTGGTGCACTTCCTGTCTTTGGGGACAGCTAAAATAATCATCCTGGTGCTAAGTGAAGGCCAACTCTGTCAGATGCAACTTAAACTTTAGACAAACTGTAAGAAGGTCCCACATTCTATGGTGACCAAGTGTGAGGCTAAACAGAAGATGGCATACACTTATCATTTAGGCGAGGTGGAATGGGAATTTTTTGCCCAGTTAATGTTAAACAGAAAGATGGGCTGGGGAGGTAGCTCAGGGGTCTAAGTGCCTGCCTGGCAAGCACGAGGACATGAGTTCAATCCCCAGTACCATCTGCCATGGTAACTCTGGAATCTGGGCTGGCCCGAAACAGGGCTTGCTGGCACACACCTGTAATCCCAGCTCTGGGGAGGCTGAGATAGGAGGATCACTATGAGTCCAAGCTGCATAGCAAGACCCTGTAATAAATAAATAAATAAAAATTTAAAGAAAAAGTATTAGATGGAGCCTTCCTTTGGCGTGCACTGTGGTTATGCCAAGGTGGGAGGTGGAGGGTAGGCCTCTCTGGGTTGAATCTTCAGGCCTCACAAGGTCCCCTGTGGGGATGCTGCTATTTTTAAGATGCAAATTGCACACTTCCTAGATTTTGTATCCATGGATTTGAATAAGGGAGGGAAAAAGGGATAAATGCTTGTACGGTCTGAAATGGACCTCAATGGTACTTCAAATCTTTTGATCCTAAATAAAAATGTACATACATTTCATATCTGCGGACTCATTTTCTAGGGGTGTCAGGAAGTTAAACGTTTCTTGGGATCTGTTAATTTATCCTATGGGCAAATTGCCCATAAACTCTGATGGACAAGTGAGGGGGGAGTCTTTGCCCTCAGTTTCCTGATTGTTGAGCTCACAGGAATAATTTGTGTGTGAAGGAGTACAGTTATTTGAAAATTGTACAAGAGTGACAATGGCAAACTGAGTCAGGCCTGGAGCAGTCAGGCATCTGGTGAGAGAACACTGGCCAAAGTTTCTTCTTTTTCTATTCCCGTGAGAAAAGCTGGCAGCATATTTTTTATTTGCTAAGGAGTTGGCAATGGAGCCTTCTGGAGGACCAGAGTCCTGGAAGACCACAACTTAGGTCAAGGCAACTGGACGGTTAGGACAGTCATAAAGACATGTAGCACAGGAGAAAAGGGACCCCTGAAATACAGCTACGTAGAGTACAGACACACTTCCATCAGTGATTTTGTTAGCATCTACACACCGGGCCATTCTACAGACCAACTCAGGACCTCAGAAGCAACTGTTAATGCTGAAGGAGCCAGGTTCTTGGAACTCAGACCACTGGTAAAACCTGGGACCCCTCAGTTGAGCCCCATGGTGGGCAGACTCAGACACCATGCTGCCAACATACTTTGGGTGGTATTAGCAGTAGTGGCCAATGTGGGGCAGGTGGCTTCCAGGTTGGAAACATCATGCTCAACACACCCCTGCGCCTAGGTTCCCTGGGGATTATCGCCTAGATTCCCTGGGGATTGTCAGGAGACAAGCCAGGGAGAAGACTGTCTGGGTGAGACAGGGCCTGAAAGATGTGTGGGTATGACACAGTCTGCTGGGATAACTTGATACTGTTTTTTGGTCCCACCCCCCTTAGCAGAACTGATAATATGGGCAAGCTGAAAGACAAGTGAGTTTCTAGCTCCTAGCCCAACTGTCATGGGAGATTCAGGATGGGCCTGGTCAGGAGGCCCTTCCCTTTTTGGCTCAGGTGAAGTATTTAATGGCTTCCCTCAATTGAGGCCACAGACTGCTCCCGCCTTCTTCCTACAGGACAGCTTTCAGTCCTGAGGCAGGAGGCCTTAATGCCCCAACCTTGTAGTTAGTGCCCTGTACTGTCCACTGGGTGACAGCTGGTGAAAGTTCTGCCACTTTGATTCAACCACTTGTCCCTGGTCTGCCAGGCATCTAGGACCAGGGGCACTTGTCTAAGATTCTGGTACCACTGACTTCTGCCCTACTGAGCACTCTTTTCTCAGCACCAAGGAGACTGTGAACAAGATACATGAAAGGGCCCAGGGACTGGTATTTTTGAAAGTTCCTGAAGAGGTGCTCCCATGTGCTACCAAGACAGACTGCAGCCATAACCCAGAAGACAGATGGCAGTGCCACCCAAGTTGCGTGGAAGGATAGCCTGTGGGCATGCAGTCAGGCAACCAAACACCAGATGTCAAGCAACCAGTGTCAGCCCACCCTGCTGGGTCTCCTGGGTCAATCAGCGACGATGGTCAGATCTGTCTGGAGGAATGTCAGATGACACTGGCCTTTAAATTCAGTAGACTGAAGGTCGCAGTTTCCACTAGGCACAAGGATCATTTGCAGTGAGAGATAAAGGCAATATGGTAGAGTCCAAGAAAGGTGAGCCTTGGGCGTGTGAGGTACCCAGGGAAGGCACAGCTGTACCTACCTGAGGCCACATTCCAGGACACTTGTCCAGAAATGGAAGTACATACTGATGCAAAACTAAGTGTCAGCACTGACAAGCCACAGACATGACACAGCCATGCAGGGCCCGACCTGAAGTGCCAGCCGACTTTTTTCCCTTATGAGGAATGTTTTGCCCTGCGCCACAAGAATCTGGAGCAGGAAAATGGAAATCCTGAGAGCCCAGTGAATTCCCATCTACAATTTTCTTGAGTGGGGGAAATTTTCTGCAATAGGGTGATGCTCTAAGAAAGAGTCAGGCCCAGAAATAGCATTGCTGCTGTCTGACATGGGCCAGCCCAACTAGTTCCACACACGGCATGCTGTTTTATATCTGGTGAATCATTTTGTTCCACACCAGCAGAATGGGACAAGCACAGCTTCAGGAAGGGAAAGGGGTCTTTTGAACTGTTTTCTGGGCATAAGTTTGGCTGTACATTAGAGAGGCAAACAAGGTTGGTACCTGGCAGCACATCTTAATGCTAATTTTCAAAAATGAGACGTTCCTGCGCAACCAGGAAGGGGCTCTGGTTGGTCCCTGTTCACCATTGAAGCCTGCTGTGAGATCCTGGGCTTGCTCCCGGGCAGAATGCGCTCCATTTAGCCACACCCTTGGAGGACAAGGTGGCAGTGAGGATGACCTGATGCCTCCTGTTTGCCCAAAGGAGGGAAGGTCTGTTTGACCTAAATCAAGAAACTTCATGCTAGTGTCTGCTGTCTAACAACCACCAGGACAGAGCCCCCAAGAAGCATACAGATTAAAGGAAAGAGGACATGAGGATGATTTATTTGGCAGTCAGATCTTAAGAGGGCAGCAGAACTAGCAAATGGCCAACCCTGAGCCCAAGTGTGGGCAGTGGGTTTGCATGTGCTGAATGCTGGCTATGCTATGAGGCACCTTTGCGCCCACTGGCCTGGACCCCAGCCTCCATCTTCAGAGGAGGGGACTGCCTTTCCAAACTTTCCACTTCCTTCCCTGCACCCTTCTAGTCTGAAGCTGCACTGAACTAGCAGCTTCCTTCAGCACCTGACTGCCTGGCTCCACAGACCCAAGAGGCAGGCCACTCTTTAATCCCCTTCTCATTCCTATGGGAGAACATACTGAGTCTTCACTGCCTTAAAAACAAAAAAGCTCACTGGGACAGGCACTGCCATTTCTTCTCTTCCCATCCCTCCTCCACGGGACACTGCCTTGACATCGAACACTCTGCCCTCAGAACAGCTGGCAGCAACATTCAAGGCTCTGCTTGGAGGTTTCCCTACAACAGTGAGGAGCTGGAGGAGTGAATAATTTAGTTAAGATACCACTGAGAAGAAAAATAATACTGCTATTTTATCATGATCCCCTGTGTCTTTCAGGCTGGGTAGCGTTCCCAGCAGTGGGCAATGTGCCCTTGTGCTGCGTCGTCCTCCTCCTCCTCCTCCTCGGGCAGGGCTGAGCCCTTCTCCACACAGGCCCTGCATCACTCCACTGTCTCTGGGCCACACTACCAAGGCATCTACTCTCACCCTGCCCAGCTGTGTTTTTAAAGCTACAGGACAATGTAAACTTTGTTCCCCTGGCCCAGCAAGGCTCCTCCTTTTCCTCGACTCAGGAATGTGAATGGCTCCTTGAAGCCTCCAGTGCTGCCAGCTGAGGCAGCCTCTCTCTTCAAGGGGCTTCAGCCCTGCTTCCGGCCCCACCGGCTAGAAGAATCCATCTCCAGAAGTCAGGGCCGGATGTGTGTGCTTAATGCGAGACACAGTACAGTTTTTGCCTTCACCCAGAGTTGGGCCCAGAGGCCCAAACAGTACATCTCGTTAATGGCTTGGTTTTGTCTAGCATTCACCGCTGGAATCCAGGCTCCAGGCTGCGAGAGCAGAAAGCTGCCACAGTAGGCACCTTCTGAAGAACCCAGTTCACGGCATTCCACGAGGCGTGCAGCGCTGCTGCTCTCCATCGAGGAGGTGGCACAACTAAAGGCGGTTGTCTCCATTGACCCGAGTCCTTCTTGGGGTCCTGAGTGGAAGGCAAGAATGTCCTTACTGACAGCAAGGCTTTACTGTTAAACAGAACAGCCCAAAGCCACACTCTGATAGCTTTTTCTGCACAAGAGAAAGATGCTGGAAAAGTAGATCTAACCTCAGAAAGCTAGCCTCTCTTGCTCCAGCACCCCTCTTCCAAGCCACACACTGGCCACCTTCCCTTCCACCCTCCTTACCTTCGTTCCCGAATGTCAAAATGGTCTGCAAGATGCTCCTGGGAAATGCGGAAGTCCTCAAATGGCTGCTGGTAGCGGGCTTCAAAGGAGCCTTCCCGAGCCCGGCTATGAAACAGCTGGCTTGAGGCATCTGAACCCCGCTCGCGGAGGGACGTACCACCAAAGGGACTGAGGTCTCCATTTTCCTACTCAACAAGGGCAAGAGGCCAGAGGTCAAGGATCCTCGGCACCTTGGGAGGGTATCTTGCTGTTCTCCACCCCTGCCACACGTACCTTGGCAGGGAAGACATCAATCTTGATGAGCAGCGACGCCAGCTCCAGGTCTTCGCTGTAGTTATTCTTCAAAGGCACCGCTCTGTATCCTAGGAGACGGCAAGCCTGCCTGTCAGCCTGGGAGGGCACCAACAAGGGGCCCACCCTACCTGGCAGCTAGCTCAGAGGGCAGTCTCCAGGAAGAGTCCTCACCTGTCTTCAGGCCTTTTACTGGGAAAGTGGCCTGAGCCAAGAAGTTCTGGTCACTAAACATGTCTTCCTCGTACACCACAAAGCGGAGGAAGGCAAACTCAGGGTTACTGATTTGGAAATGGAAGGGCTTGGCTGGCCATACAGGGTTCAGTCCGTTGTCCACTATGAAAGCAAAGACAAAAGAGTTCAGGCCACTAGTAAGAGGATGGACAAGATGACAGTGAGGAGAGAACTTCAGCATGGCCAGGAGGGTGAGGATGGTGCAGAAAAAGCTCATTTACCCACAAACTCTGTCTTCTGTTTCGTGTTGTCATACTCTGCTCCAGCTACTTCAATTTCCACAAAGGGACACACAATGCCGCGGCCATTCTTTGGCAGGTGCCGAGCCCCCAGCACCTGTAAGGCAAGCAAAGATGAGGCTATGGTTGTCTTGCTGTTCCCACCATTCCTGCTACTGAGCTCAGGCAGCAAATGTGATGTGGAGGCAGTGCGCCCTCTGCTGGACCAACGAGGCCTACAGCAGCTGCTGCCATACAAATTCTGAGCTTTAGCCAAAATTTTAGTATGAACTTTGCAATCTACTTCATGTCAAATTCATGCC